GAAATAAGGAAACTTTATCAAAAATTACGTAAGATGCAAAATAATAACTAGCTTCATAGAAACACCATTCTAAAGAAGTTTTTAAAAAAATACGTAAGAAGACAAGAATAATAACCTTTATATAAACAACATAGAAAACAATTAAAGCTTTATCCAAAATTACGTAAGAACTAAAGAAACAACAACCTTCACAAGAACAACACAGGCAAGCTTCATCAAAAAATATGTATAAATTAAGAAAAGAAATGGCAATTAATTAGGTTGAAAATGTTACATTAAATTATTTCATTACTCAACATGAATAGTAAATGTTTGTTTCGTTTAATTGATTTTACATAAACGCTTCAAATGTTGCCTCGAATAGTAATTACTTTGCGTTGTTGTTTTCAACATTTCGCAACTTGTTCTTAATTAATTTAATTATATTTTAATGACGAGCCGTGCGTAAAATCTCGCAATTTTCAGAATTCCAAAACCAATTAAAAAGCAACGTACGCGGTTTAATTATTCGACCTTACTTCGAGCTTTAATAGTCATGACTTCTATAAACCCAGTTGCATTCAGCGATTTGGACAACCGCTTATTAAGGACAAATCTTAAAGAACGAAAACAAAACTAAGCAAATAACACAACAACTCCACGTTTTCATTACAATATTCCGTTTAATAGGTACAGTAATCGTGTAATTTTTGTGGAACTTCGGATAATTGGGACAACCGCTTAATTGGTGATTACGTACAGTAGTACAGTAGTCCTGTACGTGTCCCGATTAAGCGGAATTGAATATATAAAAAAATGAACGCTCGTCCCCCGTTCGGACTTCGTTGCAACCAACGCCCGTGCCGCATCCGGGGAAACGTGCGAAACGTCGTGTTTCGACTTGGCTTTCTAAAACTATTTTAGCTGCAATTAGACGATTATCTCTATGAGAGTTTCGTTAATTGATTCATTAAGTATTTACCATGACTTTCATATAAATTAATTATCCGAATTATTCGAAAGCGAAACTTCTGATATAGTAGTTCCTCTTTTTTTTATATTGATTTGATTATTTGTCGGAAAAAGTAAATTAATTTTGGTGTCGATTCTGATTGCAAATATAGTTTCATTTTACATGGATTACACAAGTATTACATACATTCATGCTAATATAATTTATAAAATATGTGTTGCAATTAAGTTGTTATTGATGACTGTCGTAAAATTGACAGCGACACAGTATTCCTTTTGAAGAAACGTTGAAATCTCATTAAATATATAAATCAATTGATGTATTTGTTGTTGGTTCTGAAACCAGAAAAAAGTTTGCATGGACAAAATATCTTTAGAAATTTTTATTTGTTTGTGTTGTCGGAAAGTGTCTGTATTCATTTCAGTTCGGTTTAGATTACATTAGAAATACAGTTTCTTAAAAACATAAATTGATAATCTCGTCCACTACATTAATTTATAGATGTAGTTATCTTTTGAAAAACACAATTACTTCAAAATTTAATTGTTATAATTGAGGTTCAAATAAACAATATGTTTTTTTTTAATTTGACTAAATTTCTTTTGTCGAAAGTTCGCTGAAACTGAAATGTTTACCAGAAATCTTTGTTACGCAACAAAGCGGCGGTTGGCCAAAAACGGTCGAAGACTTTCTAGCTCGACGCACTTTCGCACCCACACGATGCTCTTTATTATTATAATCTGAATACGCTACGTTCTTTTTTCCATCTTGTCTTGTTGCTGTTGTTGTTTGTTCTTTCTTCATCGACTTGTCTTCTTCTTTTTTTTCCTTATTATTATTATTTTTTTTTAGTCCCCGCCGACCCGTGTCGGATGTCGGGGATCGACACAGCTGCGTCTCCAAACAGTCAGCTGGGTGCGTGAGAAATGCAACGAAATGCACGCAACAAATTTAATATTAAATTGAATTGAGAGGAAACATAGTTTAGCCTAGTGCAATGACCGAGGTAACATCATTTGCAAACAGATAATTGTCACCATCAATTCTCATAACGTTCCGTGAATATAAGTACATTTTTTTGTTTTTGTTGTTGTTGTTGTTGTGTGTATACATGCAGACGTTCTGCGAGACTTTAATTATTGCACACAGTTTCCATTAATGACAACATTTTCCTTCTGCGTTTTGTAAAATATTTGTAGCAATTATGTTGTTATTGATGGCTGTCGTAAAATTGACAATGACACACAATTCCTTTCCAGGAATCGTTGGAATCTCATTAAATATATTAATCAATTGCTGTTGTTATTATTGAAATTCTAACCAACAAAAAGAAACGACACAATAAACAAAATAAAATAATATTTACAGACAATACAATTTGTCTACTTAAAATTTATTTGTGGGGTTAAACGAAAGATTTGACCTGAATCCATGTATCATCTTTTATGTAATGCTTCGTGACAATAAAGACTATTATAATTTATATTCTATCTATCTAGCAGCGCTCCAGATTGAAATCTGAGTATACATTTATTCCCTTCTTTTCCTTTACTTACGCATATTTCAAATGTAAATTTGACACAGAAGAAATATTAGTTCTTGAAGGGTTAACCATTTACTAAACGGGAACGTCAAAATTGAGGGCAATACCAAATATGGTTGCAATAGAGTTTCTATTTTATCGAGAGACAAGCAGCAAAAAAAATAGGCACAGACGAGCAAAAAAAAATGAGTAAATCGAAAGAGAGAGAAAAATTGAAGTTGTGAAGTAGTTGAATGAGTAAATAATAAAACTCCAAACAGAAGTCTATTGGATATGCGGAACGTATTTTTTTTTAGCGATTGAAAATGTGTGTGCGCATTTCATCACCGTAATAATCACTGCGTTTACCATTTACACAGTACGAAGCGAATAGAGATTCTGGGACATATAAGGAAAAGTGGAATTGCACCTAAGTGTGCCAGAAATCCACTCATAAATCTACCTCACAATGAATCTCGATTATACGTGCGGAAAGTTTACGCAATTATCACTACGGGTTACACGCCCAGATAAATTTGCAAGATGAAGATGAAGAAGAAGACGTGTATACAAAACCGGTATTGCTGCACGTTAATCGCTTATTAATTACCGAAACATCGTTACTTAATTTTGCTTGGTTATTAATACTTCATTTTTAAAGCCATGATTTTTTTGCTATTCAAGGAAGATGAAATAGGTAACGTATATTTAAATCTAGCATTGCTCGGTTATTAATTACCAAATGATCATTACTTAATCTTTTGTTAAAATCTATGATTTAATTACAAAAACCAGTATTTCTTGGTTATTAATTATTTACTTTTTTCACTAATGAAAGAAAAAGCTGAACGTTACTTAAATTTTGAGTAAAAACTAATTCTTTTTCGTTAACTATGTGAGGAGGTACAGTATTTAAAAACCGGTATTGCACTTCTTTAACCGTGAATTAATTTCAAAATTATTTATAATAATCATTACTTAATTTTCTAGTAAAAGCTATACCTTTTTGTTTCAATTCTAGAGAAGCGTGAAGAACAAGGTGAAATATATATGAAACCGGTATTCCACTTCGTTAATCTGGTATTAAATATTGTTACTTAATTTTTAGATCTAAGATTTTTTTTGTTAATAAAGAAGAAAAAAAATGTATTTACAAAAAACAGTATTTCTCGGGTATTAATTACCAAATGATCATTACTTAATATTTCGTTAAAAGCTATTATATATGAAGATGATGTATATACATGTATTTTTGGTTATTAATTACTTACTTTTTCCAGTAAGAAATATGACACTTTTTCACTAATGAAAGAAGAAGATGATTAACATGGTTACTTAAATTTTGAGTAAAAATTTATTGTTTTTTGTTAGTCATATGCGAAAAATATAAAGTATTTACGAAACCTGTATTGCACCACAATTTCTAAATTATTTAATTAATTACCAAATAATCATTACTTAATTTTGCAGTAGAAGCTATAGTTTTTGTTTTAATTATAGAGATGCGTGAAGAACAAGTGAAATATACATGAAACCGGTATTGCACTTCGTTAATTATTGAATTAATTATCGTTACTTAATTTTCGGTAACAGCTAGGATTTTTTTGTTTTGCTATTGATGTGTTTCGAAATGTACGAGCGATTTCTTCACGAATAAATTATTATTAATCGCTTCGAGCGAATTAAAATAATGAAAGTCCGTTTGATATTCGCGACGAGGATGAGACCTTTCGATGAGCAATTCCTAAGACTTACGCAAGGTATCATCTACGAAGACCACTTTGACTGTTTCACCAAGTGGAAATCTTCATTAAAGCTCATAATAGAAATTCCTATCATGTCCACATGAAATAATCAATTATTATATAAAATAATTTATATACAAATTTGATTGCTTGATAAATACTTAGTTTTCAAAATATTTTTAATATATTGAATAATTATTAAATAGAAAATGTTAGTTTTCATTAAAAAATGATGAAATTGATAAAGATTTTGTCGAATTTTTAATCAAATATTTGAACTATTTTTTTATTATTATTATACTAATTATTTATTACGTGACAAAATTATATTATTTTCCTAATTGTTTGTCACCGTTGGAAACAACAACAAATGTTTTCTATTATAATTCATATACACAAAAAGAAAGTAAAAGCGTGACGGAAAAAACTTTTATTTTCAATTGATAATTTATGTATTATTATTCTTATTACTTAATAATACATAGATAAGTTGATATTAGTGATAAGTAAACATAATTAATTAAAAATAATAATTTTAGCAAAATTATTCATCTTCTTGTTAATGTAAATATTTCATTTGTAACATTTTTTTTTATTAGTTTGCAAGAAAAATATGTAATTGTATTAATTTATCTTGAGGTTAAATATTAACTAGAAAAGATTGAAGTAATGGGTTTTGACGACTATAGAAAATACAGGGCTAAGTAAGTTGTTCGATCCTGTTCTCCTTGGGTATGGTTATAAATATACCATTTATAGAATCGGATTCTACTGCACTTACCAAAGTCTTCTCCAAGTAGAGTTGTATCTCTCTGTAGGGATCGCAGACGTTCATCTTGGATTGTCTACGTGCGGGGTTCACCTAGTGGAGGTTGAGGGTCGTCTCATTGTTACCTGTATTCGAGAGAAGAAAACATGTCTTTAGCTGATTGCCGTTTAATCCTGTCAATTGAAATGCCCAAAGGGCGGTCGTCCCTGATCGTCATGCGACACACGACTAGAATGATACACAGCACATACCAAAACGTACGGAGGCGCATTGAACGCGACAATAAAACAAAAATCGACAAAAACAATGCGACCACATTAGTATTCCTCGCTGATCATCAATCGATCGTTTGCTTAACAAACAACGGCTTCCAAGGATGGCGAAAGAAAGGAACGGGATACGAGAAATGACAACAGCAAATGAATAAGTGTTAAAGACGAATTTGAAATTTTTCGGAAGAGCCTTTAAGGACGAAGTCCGCACGCATCAAGAGGAGACGAAAAACTGAAACGGACAGATGGGTGGAAGGCAAAGGTGTTTTCGGCAAACCTATGTGCAGCAGATGATCCATATCTTGCGGTCCACGTGCACCTTTTTTTTATACCAAATTACCTGGGGTACCGTGGACATTTCACCCGCACGCTTCTGCCCTTTAAAGGAAACCGGAGAACTTAAACAGAGTTCAGCTGCCAAAAATCTTAACGCAATGAGGGGTTATCATCACAGCAAGGAACGGAAACTTGTTTATTAAATGTTATCTACCTTAATGATTTACAGACAGAAGATACAATGCTTAAGTATACTATTACAGGGTTTTAGTTTCATTCAGGTTTCTGTAAAGCAGAACAACACACACATACACACAGATCTCGTAAAACAAATATAACTGCATCTCGAACTATAAAGCGACCACCTCACATTTTTTTCTTTCTTCTTCTACTAAATGTTACGCAACGCAGTATTATCATGATAATTACACTTTACTGCATATTGTATAATAAAAATCATGACAATTAAAAATATGATGAGCTCAGAAACATAAATCGGCACATTTTTGAGTGAGTTAATTATCAAATTAACATCTTAAAATTATATAAAAAAAAACTATATAAACAAATGATCAACTTTGATCTTATTGCTATATTCAAAATCAACACATTTCTTAACGATATTTCATTTTAAAGACAATCTTTTATAAATGTTTAAATAAACGGACAATGTTTCATTTTTAATTGTAATTAACTTTCTTGTCATATAATATTAAAAATAAACGAAAAAAATGTACTTGATTTTGTTTTATGTGCATTTATGACAAATATTTTTCTTTCCTAGAAAGGAAGGTGCGGATGCATATCCGGATAATTTGCTTTTTATGTTGATATAATTGAAAATTGCAGTGCTTTATGGTCGGAATCACAATGAAAGAGGCGTATTGAGAGACCCTAGCTCCAAGAACAGATGAACCACATTGTATACAATTTCGCTTTTGAATGGAAAGAAAAAGTGACCTGAAAAAGTTGACCAAACAATTCCATGAAATGCATAGTTAATTTTTTTTTTGTGCAAACATGTCCCAATAAGTTTACGGTAATTATTGTAAAAAAATACACAATGATCACATTTTAACAATAATTTTCAGGCCTGATTTTCTTAAACGAATGAATGAAAGTAAAGCTACAAAGTACTTTTTGTTACATAATTTTTATAATCAAATTCATTTATTAATTATATTTGTTTCCGTTATACTATGGACATTACTTTTCGGAACATATGAAATGGAAATGTAAAATCAGGCGTCGGCAAAGATCAATTAATATTTTTTACATAAATTAATTAAAACTATGAACATAAAATGTAAAATAATTTTTTTCAGTGAATTTTGTCACAAATTATGCACCTGAATATACATTTATTATTTTTAACGACTTTTTATTTAAACTTAATTAAAATCAGGTGTCAGTGTAATTACTATTTTATTTATTTAAAAAAGAAATAACTGAAAATGTACAATTAATATTGTTTTTATTTAAATTCATTATAGCTATACGAAAATCAGGTGTGACTGAAATTGCAAATTCCTTCAATATTTTTCTTCTTCTATAATAAATGAGTAATGCATGTGTTTAAAAAGCAATAAGCTTTTAGTTCATCTGGTAGCAACAGTAGCAATCTGTGTCCGAAGTTGTCGTCTCTGATTTATAAACTATTTCAAATGTTTCTTCAATTTTCCTCTTCAGAAATGGTAACGGCTATTGGTCAAGAGCAGACGATACCATCAGATTGCGCAAACCGAGCGGACAGTTGCGCAACATCGTCAGTGTGGCTCGCTCTTTACGCAACCGCGTCAAATGTAAGGTGCAATGGGACAGTGTCTCTCTTCTTTTCCACGAATCTCAATCAAATCCCGTATAAAGATAATCCGTCCACGTTTATCACGGATCTACAACGTATAAGTAAATCTCAGCAAATTCAATAATCTTATACTATCCATAAAAAGAGCTTCAACGTATAACTCATAGTTCCCTAGGCCACTCTTAGATAATTTTAATGAAAACATAAATCTTCGGCGCTTAATTAACATTACATTAGTCGACGAGGCCATTCCACGCGCACTCTGAAGTGTAGCAAACTAGAAGTTGCATCAAAAACGCCGCGTATTCCCAAACGCATAACATACTATTTGCATTTCTCATTAAATAGAAAACCGAAAGAGGTTTATTACTGCTTTATATGCTGTAGTTTACAGATTCTTAAACGCCAGTCACTCCTCTTTTCTTTCTTCCTCTTTTTTTTTCGTCAGTTTCCTCGCATGGCTCTTGCTGTTTTAATGTAATTTAAGTTTAAAGCCTCACATTAAATAGTAATATGCTTTAAAACGCGCTAATCTCGAATCTGGCGGATGAATATACGCTGTTTTACTAGGTGCAATTAAAAAAAAACTCACTCTTGCAAATGTTTAACACTTGGTTTATATTTCTCTCTTTCTTTTTTTTTCTCAACATTCCACATTTACATATGTTGCTGCACGCCTTATTCTTCAACCAAGCAGACAAAGCGGCGCGCCAGAAATTCTTCGACATTGGTAGACTTTTTGGTACTCATTCGAGCGTTAGAACGTAACACTTAGATCAACAAATATTCTAATATATTACATATCACAATCCAAGCAATTTAAATAAAATCAATCATTAGAAAAAACACTTTCAACAGATTCAAATTTTTATAGATTTTTTTTTTAAATATATCATAATTGAAAATTATTTTTCATAATTTCAATTTTTCCACTATAAACATTAACAAAATAATTGTTTACAAAGTTTAAAACATTTTTATGTGTTAAGATTTCACTTTTCAATTATCTGAATATAAATATTATTATAATACATTTTACAACCTCTCCAAAATGAAATTGACGTCAAACATTAGTAATAATTAGTTTAAAAAAATATATAAACAATCTCAAGGAAAATATTTTTATTCAAGCATTCTTTGATTTATTTTCTACTAGATTTTTCTTAAATAAAATGAACAACTTTCAATTTTATTATTTTCATATTTTATTTAATTTATGTTTAGAAACTATACAGAAATTTACAGAAAACAGTACCTACTAGGCTTGTTGCAGTTAATTTGTTTCAGTAGATGCTATCAAGTAACGCGGCGTCTTCAACGCTCGTTAAGATTAGGTCTAAGTAGGTTACGTTCAGGAGTTAATAATTTATACCTTTGGGTCAAAAAAACGCGACGTGTTAAGAATATTTTTTTATAACAAAACAACTTTGGGAATCATAGAAAAATTCTTTTTTTTTTTAATCTCACATTGAAATTGACGATTGAGCAAGAATGTTGATTATTTTATTAGTAATTAATTTAAATAGGAAACAGATGATGCCCATGATTGTATAAGACTTCTACTAAAAGTCAATAAAACTAGTTGTACCTGCAGCAGAAGCAACGGAATGAGAGAAAGATGAAAATAAAGAGGAAGAAACAGCGCTCGTTAAGATTCGTCGTCGAAAAACTTGAGATCTTATCGGTTTGGGAATTCGAATTATATTAATCGTACCGAATAAAGTACATAAGGAATGTCTCTAAATTAGGGGAAATTCAGTTTCTCACTTTCTACCAGAACGATTTTAATTATTTTCTACGGAAGTAGAGTTCAAGGATGTTGCAATTAACAACGACAAAAAAATACGCGACGGATTAGATTAGGTCCGAATTTTGTAGATACAAGTGTCGTTGTTGGTGGACGAATAACAGTAATAGCTGTTTCGGTTGATGCAATCCCCAAAAAATGTTCCTTGTTTGGTGTCTCGTTAAGATAGGAAGAGTTCTTTTAGTTGGTTCAATCCAAAACAAACAGAAAACGTGTCCAACGATCGTTAAGATTAGAATTCTATGCAATTTAATGCTATAGTGAAAGAACTTCGGAACTTCAAATCTTTGTCCTCACTTTGACACATTTTGTCTATTTAAAATTTCATTAAGGTTTGGTAACATTTTTCAAATACCTTTTTTTCTAAATTGTAAGTTGTGTCAATTCCTGTTGATTAATCTTGATTGCGTTTTATTACATAAATAGTTTAATGGAAGCATGCATTCCAAAGATGCATTCGAAACTCGTCAAGGCTATTGGCTACAAATGAATTTCGCACTTGTCGGTATAAAATTATATAAGTTTCTACTTAAGTACATTTGATAAATGCATACTTTCAAGGTTTATAAACGTTTTGTAAAAATATTTTTTATTTTATTAATAATATTTAATTGCTTAAATATTAATAAAATTTCGGTTCCATGACAAAATAGAACATGGGAAAAATATTAGAGTTCTAGTAAAAAATCATCAGTAGTACTAGAAACTACAATATCCAACATATTGTTATGATACAAGGCATAAGTAATAAAAAAAAACTACGACTTATGGAATGCTCGTAAATATAAGTTTCCTTTGCAAACCATCAATGTTATTATAAGGAAGTGAATTAAGTTTGCGGAAATGAAAGAATCCGACAAAGTGGGACATAATTTTATAGAGAGAAACCAAAAAATTACTTTACAATCGATAATAAACTAATGAGACAATGACGTGTGAAACGCTCATAAATATTAGTTTAATTTG